TAGGGCGCGCGGCCGGTGGCAGGACCCATCGATGCTGGGTCACTGTAATAAGCATCTGTATTTATTTTTGTTCCCCCTCCGCCTGCCATATTTATCTAGGTTTTCTGACTTTTAATGCCCTTCCTCTCACCCTCCCCCACCCATAGTCCCATGCGTCTGTTAAAATTACAGGTGCATTGTAAGAGTAAAGTGTTGAATCTTCCCAAAGCTGTCAAGGTCTAAAGAACGTGGAACCAAAGACAGCCCCCCCCCCCAAATCACCCTAGGACAGTGATGGCAAACCTTTTGAGCTCGTCGTGTCAGCATTTTGAAAAACCCTCACTTAACTCTGGTGCCGTGTCACATATAGAAATTTTTTGATGTTTGCAACCAGAGTAAAACAAAGACGTATATTTTTGATATTTATTTTCTATACTTAAATGCCCTTTAACAAAGAAAAATCAACCCCAAACAATGAGTTCGCGTGTCACTTCTGACACATGTGTCACACGGTCGCCATCACTGCCCTATGATGTGCAATGACTCGTTTTTGCTTACTCATACAATGACATCTGCCGCCTGTGGGGAATGGGAAGGAATGAGGATTTGGTTGCATCGCTTGACGACTCATTCATTGGCAAATACTGATGCCACATTATCAATAACACAATCAGCCTTCCACCGGCCCCCACCTCCTTTCCTTTCGCTGTCCTGGCCCCGCCCCAAGCCCAGCCCCAGGGACGAATGTCAGACCTGCGGTGCTGGAGGCCATGGCAGCAGTGCAGACGCCCAAGATCCTGAGAGAAAACGCACCCCACCAGAGAGAGGAAATAGGAAACAGGATCTATGAAGCACGTCGGAGGAAATCCCATGATTTTCCTCTTTCTCTTCTCACCTCTTTGTTCCAAAGGCAGCCCCAGGTTCAGGGAACAGCACAATAGTACAGGGGACCACGAGGGAGCTTAGCCAACACTGAAGAAGCAGAACAGAGGGATGGAGGGGAAGACGGATTCATTACAATCTTCCCTCTGATGCCCCCTAGCCTTAGCACAGAAAAGAAAGGTCACTTTTGCAATTACACGTAGCACACGATTATCTTTCTCATTGGCTACAGACTAGGTCTTTCTTAATAAAACTAAATATCCAATCTCCTCTGATGACCCAGCTCAGGAGAGATTTTTCTTATCTTGGAGTGCCGTAACGAAGACCACATTCAAAATCTAACATTTTTCTCTCAAATCCCCAACAATTCCAGTACCATTGGATACATAATCGGAGCTCTAAAGTACCAGAGGAGATGGTTAAGCCAGTTAATCCATTATGAGGACGATAATTATCTTTCCAGATTAGAAAGGGGTTTCTCACTGCTTTCCACACCACTTGGCCGAATCTACCTTTTAAATTGTGTTGCTTATGACACCTACTTCTGCTACCAGTGTTCAAGATTCTTTTAGTTGCATAAAGCAACCTCACTTTTTTTTTTTTTTTAGACAGGCTGGTAGTTAAGATTACTCTGGCAATGTATTGCGCCCATATGGACTGACAGCTCGAAAAGGAGGCTGTTAGAGTGGTTTATTTATGCAACGTGAGACAACAAAGCTCGCGGTGGCAATATTGGAAGTGGACTGGACATGGTGAATCTGAAAGGGATTGTGGGAGAACTGACGGCAGATAGGGTCTGTTTCTGAGAAAACAGCTACCTCCTTGGGTCACTGGGAGGATGGTGGTACCTTTCACTTGGGTTTCACCCCTATCAATCCTTTTTCTGTGCTAATCCAATGAGCATTTCCCCACATTCCCCACTGTTCTATTTCCACTCAACTCCACTTCCTTCTGCCTCGAAAGATGATCTTGCTTCCGACTTCACCCAGAAAGCATACGCCACTGGGCTGGAAGCACCTTCGTCTCCACAGGCACCCGCTTCTGCATTTCACAGGCATGGAACCCATTCTCACCCAGAGGCTCAGAGGAGAAGGCGCCTCTGTGCCGCTCTGTCAGTCATCCCATCCCTCCTCTAGGAACTTGTCTACTAATTATCCGTTCAGGCAGAGAAACCATTTCGAATACAGAGAAACGTTTCTCTATTTTAGCAGGCAGATAGAGGATTTTCTAAAGAGAGGACAGCTGGAATGTTCCTTCTGCTCCTTCTCTTCCGGGAGCTCACTCATTGGTTGAGATCCTGCCCAGGAAGCGCCTTCCCTGACTATGTGAGACCGTTCAACGTGTCCTGGCCCTGTTCCCACGGCACTGGGCTTGGTCCTCCGGAACCCTTGGTCCTCCAGGAAGTTGTCCCGCCATCTGTGGTGCTATCTGCCTCCTCTGCCCCTAAAGACACAGGGTAAAGGCATCGGACGATAAGGAGAATTCTTCTTTCCTGTCTATTGTGCGCAAGTTCCTACTTAACCAAATTATCAAGAGACTGTGTCCAAGCTTTGTGGCTGCTGAATAAGTCTGGGCAGAATTTTGCTCAATGCCTACTAGTGTCCCCACCGTGTGGGAACCATAAAGTTCGGTGTTTTGAATTATTAGATTCAGAGAGCTTAAAGACTTTGCTTTTTTCTGTTGCAGATTTACGTCGATGAAGTGCCGCTGCAATTTCCAGGACACATGCTTATTGCCATCGCCACGGCTGTGGTGCTGGTGTGCTTAATTTATGCAACGTTTATGTTTCGAATACGTGCTGTAAACCCCGGTGAAAGATACCGGAAATTCATTATAAGAAACAAACTGAACTTACCGAATATCAGTACCAGTCAGTTGCCTAAATTATGAAAGTCTGAAGAATGAATTTAGGATTACCTTCATTTTCTCTTTACTCTCTTGCTTTCTTAGGCAATTCCTAGAACAATGTATTTACCTGTTAATATAAAAACTAGACAAAAGACTACCGAATTGGCGTTCAAACTCAAAATTGCCATCTGTCAATGCGTTTGCCATTTTGTTCTCTTATTTTAAACCCATCGAAAATCGTTCTGTCAACCCTTCTATCAAGGATTTTTCCTTGAGAGTCTTAGAAAAACATGAAATGATAACCATCTCCGGTGAGTCGCGTTTTCTGTATTTTCCGGCTTTTGTTGGCTGGAGCCCATTCTGTGGGACCTGAACCCCCTGAGTCTTGCTCTCTTCACGGGGAGTAGGAGCGGCCCGCGGGCCTGCCGGGGCACGACAGGTGGTGAAGGAGCCTAACCTGCAGGTGAGCTTTCAGAGCATAGTGAGAATTAAAGTCGGAGCCAGTTGGGTTTCTCAAAGCAATGTCACAAGCCGATTGTAGTACTGGCGAGAGGGGAACATGACCTCCATCACGGGGGTGTTGGAAGGACACAGCGTCCGGGCGCGTATTGCTTTACAAACCTCCATGCAGCGTGTAGAATTCCAAAGATGAACCGCTGTGTGCTGTCCGACTGCCTGTTCCCAAGCTGGCAGAAGATGGCCGTCCATTCCGGGAGCAGTCACGCTGCTGGAGAAGCTAGGAGCAGCAGCACCGGAGGAGAGGCGGGGATCTAGCCCAGAAGAGCCGGTTCTGAGAGCTGGGCATCATGGCTGTGCTGTACATCATGGAAGTTCTTCGGAGAAGCCGGGGAGCGAGGCAGACACAAGAAGGAGACTCGGGAGCCAGGCATCTGCGGTGTGGCCCTGCATTGGCACCTCGCATGGTGCCGATCAGTCGGTCAATCCCCGAGAAGCCCAGCCACAGCCTCAGCTGGCACACTGAGTACAGTATCACCATGACAATGACCTGGGATCATGTTACGTTCTTCAGTCTTCGATCAAACATCTCAAAACTCCCAGCCCATAAAAAATTTCCCCAGAGAGCTGACCAGAAAATGAACACATTTCTATAACTTGCAAGTCCATGATGTAACTCTTTTCTGTCCTGATCATGCTTAACACCCGCCCATTTATTTTGCGTCGGAATCCGCCGTTTGACTAAGGATGGGGCCCAGGAGGGATTTTGAGATTTAGCCTGCAAGGGAGGCACATGGGGATGTGGCAAAGGTTTCACCGAAAGAAGCATTTGAATGTTATTTGGCTGGCCGAGTGTATAGTCAGCTTTCGCAGCGGCAGCACCCGTCCAGTCTCAGTTCTCAGTGGGGGTGACAACAAACATGTGTTTCTTGCTCACCGGGCCCGTGGGTTGGCCTTGGCAGACCTGCTCTAGGCAGGTCTGTCCCACATGTTCGCCCTCTGGAACACGGGCTGAAGGGCAGCAGTCACCTGGCAGCTCTTCTCATGGCCCAGGACCAGACACCAGACCCAGCCAAACCATCTGAGCGGTCTGAAGCAAGGGATGCACATCATGTCCCATTGGCCAAATCAAATCACGCTGCCCCTTGCCCTGTGCCAGTGGGACAGGGATGTGTACTACTCTCACTCCAAATATCAAGTTTTTAGGATCCCACTCTTATCTGGATGCTTTCATAGCTATTGCCCCGTGACCAACTCCACAATTTAGTGACACAATAACCATTTTATTGGCTCAAGATGGTGTCGTCTGGGCTGAGCTTAGCTGCCTGGTTCTTCTGGTCTTCCCAGGAGTCACTTGCACATGGCCTTCAGCAGGCAAGGGCTGGGCTCCACTGAGCACCTGGTGTCTGACCTTCTTTCTCTCTCTGTGGTCTCAGGGCCTCTCCCTTCTCAAAAACCAACCCACATGGCCTCCCTAGGTAGCTTCTCTATCAGGGCAGCTGGAGCCCTTATCCAGGCTCCTGAAAATGCAAAAGAGGGAGCTGCCACATTTACGCCTAGTGCCAGCACAATGTTACCCACCCCCTACTGGCTAAAGGCCGTCTAGCCCAGATTCAAGGGGAGAGGACTATGCATGATCATGACTATTGACAGGCGAGGCTGGGTCATTGAAGGCCACCAGTGCCACAGACTATCAGAAACCACCTGCTCCGCAAGCCCAGGCTCGTTTGTATGCTGGGGCTCCCTCACTCCCCTGTCTGGCTCCTCAGCTGGTTTGACTGGAGTAGCTGTGGGCTGGCCAGGCCTCTGTCCCCCCACATGGCTTCTCCAGGGAGGTGGCTTAGGCTGACTCACAGACTTGTGCTGTCTTCGCAAGCGGACTTCCCACGTGGAAGTTGGCTTCCAAAACCCAAACATGGGAGCTGCCTGATCTTCTTTGATATTTGGACAAGGAAGTCTCTGAATGTCTCTTCTGCTTCGTTCTATTGGTCAAGGTGTCCCGACGCCAGCCCAGATTCAAAGGGAGGAGAAATACACTCCGTCTCTTTGGAGCGGCAAGGTGACACGGCAAAAGAGCCGATGGGGCCCTAGCCAGCTTGGCTCCAATGGATAGAGCAGTGATGGCGAACCTATGACACGCGTGTCACCTCATTTTTTTGGTTGATTTTTCTTTGTTAAATGGCATTTAAATATATAAAATAAATATCAAAAATATAAGTCTTTGTT